ACTATCACTTCATTCAAGTTCCCATTCGTCTGTATTTTTCCATTAATTTAATCAAATTACAATTCTTTTTTATTTTATCCGAATCCGTTGCTTGCCACTCGACTCCTCTCTTTTGCTGAACTCCATCCAGCTTATCTCTATTCATCACTGCCTTTACATTGGTATTTATGCATTGGTCCCCACAGTTTTCCGTAATCGGACGTTGTGATTACCCGAAGACATGTGAACTTCTCGTTCAATTGTTCGACCTTTCCGCGACCAGCTTGGAGACTGGCCTGGCTCATGTTAGCGCCACACCCGCCGGCTCAGTTGATCCGGCTGTTCACACTGCCATCCGTATTGAACAGCTTCGACTCGCTTGGCTGGTGCACATGATCGGTAGGTAGACGAGAGGGGGGAAGATTGCATCCTTTTGTCCTAGTTGTCTCTCTCCCACTTTCCTGGCTATTTATAAACACAAGAGGTAATTCTTTATTATTATAAGTTGCAGGAAGGACCAGTCTAATTTTATTTATCGATAGAGTAGGTCTTGATTAAGAACTTGAGTCACCAAAGGTCGCTTAAGATGTTAAAAGAACTAACAATTGAACTTTCCATATATGTATCATGAGACCTACCGGTTTCGTTGTGAGAAATTCAACTAGCATTCCAATTTATTATGAGCAAAATATTATCTATATATTGGTGACAAAATCTTATTTCCTACGACGAATATATTGAGGACAATCTTATTATTTCCTTTATAAAGGAAATTTCTTTTTATTTATTTAGAATACGCTAGCAGTTTTTATCGTAACATAGACTGGGTAAAAAGTTATGGTAAGTAATCGCTATGCTCATTTGACTTATCTAGACAAAGATTTTCTTCCAAGCCAAAAAATGTTTATTTTGACCTTGCTGAAAAGGCGTCACATTTGATTTATCAAAAGGATGGGAACATGGATTTCTAGTCTTAGGTATTTTCATCAATTAAGGATTACGAAGATAATATTCTTTTTTGGCTGCAGATAACTCCTTTCCTTTAATCAAGTATACAAGATTTAGTCGTTTTTCATGAATCACTTTTCATGTTCTTTATTTATAATAAGTAAAATTGTTCTGCTTTTTTAATAAGGTAGATTTAGATTTTCATCTATTCATGATTCAATAGAATTTTTGATGCTGTTGGTGGATTCTATTGCACTATGAAACCTAAAATTCATTTGTCACTGTGGTTTAAGACAAAGCACAGCGAAATATAGCCTACTCAGAACGAAAAAAAGTATGTTTAGCCATCAGTCTCTCCAGTTTTCCATAGTTTCTCAATTATCAGTTTTTGAATGAAAGAAGACAGATTATCCAACTTATTATTCGAGATTAATTGCGTTTTTAAACAACTTTAATATTTATCTCCAGATTGAGTAGTTTTCAAATTTGCTAGTCACACCCGTGTCAGTACAATTTAATGATAAAATGTCGAACTTCGACACTGCACCATCCAGACTCTTTTCCCATTGAGGGTGCTGATGCTACCCAGGGGAAGTTGAAGCTGCAGTTCACACTGGATTATAATACCTTTAGGGAGGTAAGGCAAAGTGGAATCGAATGACATCTTAAGGCCTACTCGCCTTTTAGGAAAATTAAAAAATCATTTAGTCACCTTATGTGACTGTGACTTTTCTTGTAAGCGGCACAAATAACATTAAATAAAACTATTTGTAGTAAAATATAACTAAACAAATTCGAATATAAATGAATGATTGTTTTAAGTATTTTCTTTTTTAATAAAGTGTGTATAAAAGACTGCAGTTTTAATGCCGTGCAAAATTAAATTTCATAGAATATAAAAGGTAAAACTTTCAAGGTGGAATTATTTATTTTATGAAGTTGTTTGATCCTGTTTTCGCGACTTGGACATATTGGCAGGAAGACCTAGAGGAACGCGTCTTGTCAGGAGTCCATAGTATGCATGATAATTTCCAGAGTTGAAGCGTGGACGTGTTACATTCCCAGACGTTTCGCCGGCATCGTCAGTGAGCTTTTCCTGTCCTAGCAACACACTACAACTCGTCAAAGAAACAAGTGAAGTCGATCCCTTGACCAAATATGTGCTAAACAGTTGTGTTATCTCTCCTGTTCAGGGCTATTCACCTATCATATATCCTTGTATCACCCTTTCAATATCACAATTTCTTACTTGTTTATCTAGACCTATCTGAAATCTATTCACACTCACCATTGGTTTCCTCATGCCTCCCACTGTGCCGTGAGTTTTTATCCAAGGCTTTAGTTTAATTCGAAATCTTTTCTCTTCTGGTCCTATCAGAGTCCCCTCTTGCTCTTTTGGATTCTTCCCTTATCTACCTGTTCCAGTGGTTTCACCCCATCGCTGCCACCCTATCCGTACTACTCAAAGTGTTGTTCTACACTCTGCCTCAAGCCTTTGATAGCACGTATACACCAGCCTTACTGAGCAAGCCCATAAAGTCTGGATTCTCATTTGACATAACAATCTAACTTGACGCTGCAAATTTTCTTATCACTGTGCAGCATGTGTATCGAGTAAATCTTGTGGTCAAGCCTTTACTTCATGGACCACGTCTATGAGCAAGCTTATCTAGAAAT